ATACGTTTGACTCCTACTGAAAGGTTTTAATCGGTTTAGACATCTGTCGAGTATGCAGAATGGAAGGAAGTCCAGAAAGACCACTGTTTCATCCATGCTTATGTACAGGGAGCATAAAATTTGTTCACCAAGACTGGTATGAAGAAAAAAGTTCCTCAGTGCATATGTCACTCTGCATTTCTAGTTTAACTCAGTGGCTAAAGTACAGCAAGAAGGAGTACTGCGAGTTGTGTCATCATAAGTACATGTTTTTGCCAAGTATGATATGCTGCTGTCTTTTTAATTAGAAAATATACCATAAATTTTCAGTTTATCACCCGGATATGCCCATACGATTGCCGGTGAACGAACTGACAATCGGAATCGTTAGAAACCTGGGTCACACGATTCGCTGTCTTTTTCACTATACCTTAGTTGTGATAGCATGGCTTGGCGTAGTTCCGTTGACCGCTTGTATGTTTTCTTTTAAATTTGATTATTAACACCATGTTGTTTTTGTAGCGCTATAAGTCAGTTATTTTAGGCCGAGTCAATCGTACACTTTTCAAAGATTCAATCAGTTCGTTCATTTCTCTTCCGTTGGAAATGCTTTCGACGTTAGTATTTATAATCTTTCCAGATAGTTACCGTGCATTTAATGATAATCTGTGGCGTTTAGAGAGAGTATTTTGTCCGATTGCCTCCAAGGCACAATCATAATCGGATTAACTCTCTGTGCGTTTGTGTCAATGGTTTGGCTTAGAGAGCAGATCGTTCATGGTGGAATGCCGCACTGGCTGAATCTTGATCAGGTGATCGACCAGGAAGCTGATCAGGTCAGTTTTTCAGCTGATGCCATTTCACTGTTTGATTCTGAATTTGAAATGTGGTAGTTGCATTCCGTTTTTTCGCATTATGTCCACCGATCCCTCGATTTGCTGACGTAGTTGATCCCATGAAAAACTGTTCCAAAAGTAGAAACGTGGAAGGGGAAAATAATATTCTCATTAAATTCAATGTTCTGACTGGTTCAAGACTTTCAGAAAGATCTCTCGTTATATTTCCAGCGTTTGTTAAGATACTACATAATCATAAAAACGGAAATGGAGTCTTTTTTATGCGGGAATTCAGCTCAAATTCGGAATTTCCTTCATGGGTGGACATTGCATATCAAATTGACAGCATGCGTATTCTCCAGCATTTCGCATGATGCTCGATTCGGTTTCAATAAAAGACATAACATAAAACAGACTGCTGCAGTTACAAAATATGATGTAACACTTCTGTTTTATATAATGCCCTTCGCTGAAGACGGACGTAGTATAATCTGAACCGTTGGAGAATATGTTTAATAGAAACTGGAAAAGCTGTGCCATTCCTTGCAATACTTTTCTAATTTTTATATTGTACAATCATAAAAATAAGAAAAGTACTACTTTTGTATAAAACTTGTTACATGCTTTACTGAATAAATCATTATTGAAGTTTGAAGTAAAACGTTTAGATTATACGTTTCTACGTTAGATAGATTATTAGTTACTGTAGTTACAGTATAAGCAAAAATTTATGTAAACAGGTGATGTACAGTTTCTTTATTATAACCTTGACTACTATATATTGAGTATTTCGTTGTACGTTGATGGTCATACTCAAAAACAGCATAAAGCGAGCTTACTAGTATGTGGTCAGTCGGATAACAGTATAGGGGGTGAAGCGGGTGGTAGTCACATTAATAAATGCAGGTTGTGCTGGTTCTCAATCTGTACTTTTAACGATGATAAACAGAGTGATGTAGAATTGCGTTTGGCGGGCGGGGATTTTCAATCTGTGATGCAGCAACCAGAACTGCCTTGTTAAAAATACGGAGGAAGTTGAAAAGCTGAAAATGCAGCAGAAATAAAAACCATGCCCATGCAAACTACTAAGGTGATGATTACAACAAGCACAGAGGTTCCCCACAGGTGGGAGCTGGCGAAGTGATTCAATCTCGAATTTTCCATGTGCTACTTACCGCTGTATTTTTTGCTACTTACGAAGTGGACGCTCGAACAAAGTTTAATTCTTATTTGTAGTGAAAACAATGTAACAATAGGTATAAATTTACATTACTCCTTATAGTTAGCCAGTTATCCAGTTTAGATGACCGTATGTCCTTTCGGGTCACCGAGGCAGACGTGCCACTCAATGTTTTCAACGTTCCCGATCATGTGCCAGCGTTGCAGCTTCGATTCCTTCTTCGATAATCTGCGGAGTCTTTCCATACGCTTCTCTAGGTTATTCTTGGCCGTTCCTGGGATCTTTAGCTAATTGGTTGAGCAAGTATAAATTGCTTCGTCATCCTTTCTGAAATCACTCACAGTTCGCGCCCAAACTATCGCAGCTGTGAGTTCTCAGTCTGGAGAGCAGGTTTGTACACGAAGCCTCTCTCAGATATCTGTTCTATGAACCATGTTGAGACGCGCCTGCCTAGCGATTCGTTTCATAATGCTTATTTTAGCTGCCGGGCTCCAGGTTTCACAGTCGTGGCCTACATCTCGTAGGTGAGCATCGAGACAAAGATCGACTTGAAATGTGGAAACTTAGTCTTCAAACTCGACCTCGCTTTTGTAACAAGAGTTCAGGCTAGTTCACGAACAACACCACTGGCTACTTCAGTCTGCCGGTCGATCTCCTTAAATTTTCCATCACCAGTAAACGCGACCCCGAAACACTTGAACTTTTCCACCTGTATGACTGCTTCTCCGTTTATCTGAAGAGAGCAAATGAAGGAGAAAAAGAAAGTACTAGGCTTTTGGTTTTAAATACGTTCACTCGCACTCGCACACCGGTCATGTCGCACTCAGCTGCGAACCTTTGTAGGGAGCACTGCAGATCAGTTTCATAAGATGCCAACAAATCATGGTCGTCTGCATACATCAAACTTTACATCTCCTGCGTTGGTACATTCATTGCCCTGGCTGCGCTTGACTATTCTATCCATGTAAGCCACAAACAAGAGAAGGAAGAAAACGTAGCTTTATCGGAGACCGGTGCCAACGCTGAAAGGTCTCGACTTAACGCCATTTACTCTGAAGCATCAGCTACTATCAACGTATGGTGACTGGTTGGTTCGTAGCAGCTGGCCATCGATCAGATATGTTTGCATTCACGCCCACAGCTTATATATGTATATGCATGTGCAACAGACAACACACTCCTACAAGATTATATTTCGCAGCTGACTGTGCCGTCTATATACTCACAGTCCCTTCCATGGCAATTGAGCATCTGCCCTGGCATTTCGTTTTTCACATCATTTTGTTCGTCAGAGCTGCCTTGCACTCATCGTGAACGGTTTCAAGAGCCGATACTCCTTTTACCTAATGATCACTGAAATATGTTCGCACGCCGGAGTATGTCAGCTAACGCATAGCTCCTCTAGGATGAGATTTTACGGCATGTTGCTCCACCTCCTTGCTCTCACTCGCCTGTGGGATTGGAGATTTAGTGTTCGTGAGGTCACTCTAATGGGCAAAATAATGCGAGATGCATCTGGCTCTGCAAGTGCTCAAATACCATGGAGTCGTGGCCTGCGCAGTTTACCTCATAGGTAACTACGAGCAATGGTATGGTGGAATACTCAGTGAAAATACTCATCTTAAATAGTTTTGCACTAGATGGTCCACTCTAGCGTATTCGAGTGTGGCTGCATAAGTTGTACGTTTTGCGTGTAAAATCTAAAATATCGGATTTGACTCTGTTTGAAAATTGAAAACCGGTGTCTCAGTAGCATTCATCAGTCGTACATGTCAGATTTGCAGGATTAATTTATGATTGTGGCCAGACTTTCAATGTTTTAATTACCATATGCATTTTCAGTTAGATTAGTGATAAATAAACTACACTGTGTTGCAGTGCCCCTAACTGAGAATGATGTAATATCCTGATATAGTATTGCTGTCGGGTAAACGAATTTTGATTGAGTGTAGGGCATGTTGAAGTCATCCCGCGTCACACAGTGCCACATGATCAGTAAGAAACGTATACACGCGTAGCGTAGAACATGTTCCAGTTTTTTCATTAACCATCTAGTCTAAATCAGAGGATGAACCTGTCACCTGATCCTAGAGAAATGCAACTCTTGAGCCGAGTAAAGCTTTTCAAGCTTCCTGCATACCAACCTTTAAGTCAGAAGAGGGGCTGACAAAAGTTGGTAACCGGTTGGGATGTAAGCCTTACTCTATTGATCTGTTACCCTCTGTGGCATTTTGCTTTCATACATCTTATGGTACGGTTCAAGAAAGCAATTTTTATAAATGTTAATGCGATAAAACGTTAGTCAATCATATATAACATATCTGTTTGATGTAATAGTTTATTAGTACTGAGGAGAACAGTATGAAAGTTTGCTTACAACATGATTAGAACGTAGTCAGGGGATCATAGTTTTGTCGAACGTAGATTGCTGCTTGCCAAAGTCACGATGCCATCTCATGAGTTGCCATAACTGTCCGGTAGATGTTAAAACAGTGTTGCACTCACTGTCAGACTAACGTTACAAACAGCGAGAAAACTCTGGCCACAGTTTTGACTAATGATGTCCCAAATGACGTAATAACCATGATGTATCAGTATACAATGAATGCAAAATGGTCCTGAGAATTTTTAAACTACAGATTCACAGGAATATCGACCGAAATCAGTA